GAAAAGAAAACAATGTTGAAAACATTTCAGTTTAGGATGGATCTTGAAGAATTTGGAACGCTTTTTGAATGCTTTCCTATTTTTTTAGAACACATGAGCACAACACACTGATATTTATTTTATAGATGTTAGAGAGAGGCCTTTTAGTGCATTACAAATATAGAGCCTAAAAAACATCAATGCATGAAAAAAATGATTAATAAGAGCCGATTCCAATGCTAAAATTGATATATCATGCATCCCTAGAAGCACAATTTCAATTCCATCCAGAAAAAAAATATGGATATGCTGCATTTTAAACATAGCATAGCATATTTTCTTTTTGTAAACTTTGTGGTAAATTTGGAGATATATTTTATTGCATGTTGTATATCACAGTAAATCTGTTTCACCTTTAAATGTGCAGCTCTCCCTACTTCTCTCTCTGATCTGTTTAAAAAAGATTTATGAACCTATTTACTAATGTAATGATGCCAGAATCTAAATTTCATGATATGTAGAAGATCCGCAGTCTGATTCTGTCTATTCAACAAGAAAACATGTTCATTTAACCTGTAACTGGGAGTCATGGTCCTCTGAGAAGCTAAGATTTTTTTTAACTTGTAAAGAAGAACAAACTATGTTTTCTCAAGCTTCTTGTGTTATAATACACAATGGTTTAAACTTACAGTCTGTTGCCATTTTTAGCTGAAAAAGCTCCGTATGTCTAACAAACTATCAATCAACAATCAATCGAAGTAGCTGCTGGTTAATATTCACTGAGTGCTGCTGTGTGTATCCTCCTCCTCCATTTACTCTGTACGCAGTGAAATGTGACCGCAGGTCAGATGTCTCAAAGCGACAGATCCGATGATGTTAGACCGAGATGCGGGAAACAGGAGCGGCGCAAGAGGAAAAAAAACATGGACTCATAGGCGGATCTACAAGCATTCGCCACCCTATGCCACCCCTGCTTCCACCCCAGTTGGCAGTAGGGATGGCGAGGCTTATAAATTATGGCTAATTTGAGAATTACGACCGCTAATTTCCAATGTCGGACTGCAGTGAATGCAGCACGCGATGACGCGAGAGCGACTGACACTGATTAGTTCTGAAAGCCGAATGGGGCAAAGCGAGGGAGCCAGGGGTCATGGGGAGAGGAGACACAGGATGAAACAGTTAAAAACTGATTAAATATCTATCGAGACATTAAATCATAATGAAAGCACAATGTTGCTAGCATAGCTGCAATGCTGATTTTGATCTAAAAATCACATTGCAGAACGTTATTTCTCTAACTATGATGTTAGTTAGGCCTGAAGTTTGTTCATTGTAAAGTAGACTAACGTTACAAAAGGTCATATTGATTGGATCGAGTATTGAGGGAAAGGAGAGTGCTGCCTCTCTCATGTAGCC